TGGTTGAAATGGCGCCTTTAATTCAAGTCACCCAGAAGAAGAGTGGCGTTCTGGAGGAACGCGGCAGGTGTAACATCTGTCTGTTTCGGAGAAGCAAAAACACTCATAAAAGATCCTCGTAAAAGCGCACGCCCGGACCGCATAGGGTAAAAGGCTCGCAGAGCGAAAATTGATTAGTATGGATCAGACAGATCCTACTGACTGATAAATTGGCGCCCAGGGCTGAGCTATAGGGGGCCGGGCGGTACGCGGAGTAGGGCCCTCCTTTGTTGAGTATGATGTATATAGATAATAAAAGAAGTTACCCAGTAGATTATGTAGTAGGTTTCCCCAGTCATTGTTGACTCATGGTTGCTAAAAACTTTACAAAACCAACTGATTTTAGTGACATAGTGGGTGTAAAATATTGAATAAAACGTTGTGCTACATGACTGGCTTTATTTTCACTCTTACATTTAACTTTATGACATACAAATTTACAAGTTGATCTCCGATATTGTCTCCAAGTGTATTCTGGGTAAAACACGTCACTAACCATCCACAATGTCATCATCAGTCAGATACTTAGGAACGGATTGTAAACTTGGTAGATTGGAGTATTTTTATGACAAATATGAGAGGCTTTTTTAGTACTTTATAAAATTATGTTTTCATGAGCTTTGTTATACTGGGTATAAAGGGCCCCGTCATTAGCTCCGCCCCCCGGCCCGATGCCGACTTGTTCCGCCACTGACTAGCGCAGATTTCTCTGCGGATGCGGATCAGGAGGAATTTATGAAGCTGTGTGTTCATATCCCAGCGGATGAAGTGCTGGTAATTTAAGTGAAGTCGCTTAATTTAATTTATTATAAATTATTGGGGCCACAGTCAGTGGTTTTTGCCACTACGAGAAAAATTTACATACGTTCATTTCAGTTGGCCTGTGAAATCTGGATTAATGGGCCAACTGAATACTAACTAAACCGCAACAATTACAGCTGAATAGCCTATGTTAATATGATTATAATTTAACGGGTAAAAATAACACATGACGGATTTTTTTTTATGCTGTCAGTCAAAATGACGAAAAATAACCTCGGTTTAGCATAAATGTTATGAATCATTTAAAACTGCGCTTAAAACTGGACATATCAGCTGTTGCTGCTGTTTGTGTTGTGACTGTTTCCCTGTTTTAGTCTTAGCAGTGTACTCAGCCTGTAGCTTGGTATATTGCATGTTTTTACCGATCTAAAACACACAAGATACCAGCCTAAAACGATGAGATCTTTGGGTCAGATCGAAAAATAAGGGCAGGTAATCATGAATAGAACAACACTAAAATCACTTTTAGATCCTAGAGCTGATTGTCTTAAAACTTTCCTCTGTGTGTCAGGTTATCTAGAGCTACTTAAGCTGCTGCAAGCTTCAGCTGCTGGCGGACAAGTGTCCACCTTGCTGAAACTACATATTTACTCTCCATTTGTGCAAGTATTCATACAGTTATTACTGCCGTTATCTTTGCATTATCGCTCTATTTATATTTGCTACAGAAAGCACAACAGTGTCAGTGCTTCTGTGATTATCTTTATTTTTCTCTCAGTCTCTGTCGATATACATGGCTGCTCATCTTGAGCCTGGTCCTGGTTATGCTGGGGGTTTCTACACCTCATGTCAACCTCAAGGCCCAGGGGCCAAATCCGGCCTGCCACAAGTATTGATGTGGCCCTAAACTCTTGAGATAAGAGTTGTGAATACTTGTAGTGGTTGCATTTCATTTCTACAATATTTGTTAAAGA